ATTTCAAAAAAGTTTGACATAGTGCTTCAACATTTCCGCATTCCTCCGCGACTACAAAGGCTGCAGCCGCCTCCTTCTGCTTTCTGTCTCTGCTCTCTGTCTTCACACTCAATGAAATCCTTCATGTGCCTCTCCCGAAGCCTGCCAAGCACCGCAAGGGTCGCCACCAGCGCAGCGACAAGAGGCCGCACCGGGGACCACGACTCCCGCAAGTGCGCACACGCAGATGAGCCCACGTGCACACTGACGGGCGCGGTGCTAGGCCCGGAGGTGCTCACCGCGGGGCGTGCGTTTTAACTCTGATATTTTAAATTAGAAAAGTAAACTGGGAAACTAAAGCAAGTGTACATCCTTGGGAAGCTCCCAGCCCAGGCACTGGCCGCCTGCGTGAACTTCTCTGTGTGCGTAACACGCCCGCAAGGGTTGCCAGCAAGAAGTCTGCGTTAACATTTATCTCGTGGTGGGGAAGGTGGAGCCCACACCCACACCTCAGCGAGCTGGAGGGGGAGCCTTTGTGGGGAAATAAATATGGGGCACCGAAACACATTCTCTCGAAGGGAGTCCCCAGAAGTAGTGCACTTTAAACCCTAAATGTGGGTTATTATGTGAGAGTCCCAGTGGAGTTCGAGTTCCGTTTGAAGAAACTGGATAAGAAGTGTTTGTGTGGGTGTTTGTGCGCAAGGCTATGTGGGAGCAGGCACAGGATCTCGGTGTTGGGGGGTGTCCCTAGTGTGGGATGTTCCCCTCTAATCAGCCAGATAAGGAAACTCTTTTAGCTACCCAAAACTGGCCCCCATAATTACCCTGCCTCGGTTCGTAAAGGGTTAACCAAAGCCAATTCTGAGGACATATCGCACTCCCCCCCCCGTCGCCCCCACCCACCCTTGCCTTCGGCCCCGGCCAAACCCCCAAATCTCCGTCGGGGACCACCCCCCACCTCGCAGCCCACCCACCCGAACGTACAGCTCCTTACCTGAGGGGCCCGGTCGCGTCCGGCCTGTCCAGGGGGCTGCGGGCGTCAGTCCGACCTACGCACGTGTCCACGGCGGCGCGGAGCAGGTAACCC